CAATTATGCACAAGTGGAAAATTACGTGAGCACACTTTTTTCGGGTGCTGTTTACATGTTCGCCATAAAAAAAAAAACATATTAACAATAATGCGAGGCACACATACACTGGGAAAAAAACCTCCCTAATTGAATCATAATCGTCGCTTTCTCACTGCTTTATGCATATAGCAAATCCACCCGCACCGAAAGGAAAAAAAAACACAGAAAATAAGTTCACATTACAAGCCACATTGCGTGAAATTCGCTGCTTCGAAACAGAGATTTCTATCATTGCCGCTTTTTTATTACTTGAAAAATGCGGCGCTCTATCTAACTAATACAATACGATATGTAGATTTCGTGTGCTCCTCATGAGTGGATATGTGTGCATAGTATATGTATGCTAAGTTGGATATGATGATGAGATAGAGAGCAAGATTTGAGGTACTTCCATGTGCAAAATGAGCTCATTTCGGTTTCATGCATGCGCTCGATTTAATGGTCATGTAACGTGCTCGCTTGCATTTATCGCTATCGAAATATGCACGTAATCATAATACCACCCGCAATAGTCGATGATTCGCACTTAATTTTAGTTTCTTTTTCTTCTTTGTCGGATTCTGTTGTCATGTAATCGAAAATGCAACCGTTTGCTATGAGGAAGTATATTCTTAAGGGTTTTTTTTTTTCTTGATTTTTGTCTCATTTCAACAGATTTTCGGTTTTAGACTCTCTATTATGATATCTTTCCAGTCATCTTATTGAAAAATGACATTTCATCACGAAAAAAATTGTTTTATATTTGAAGAAAAAAAAAAATGTCTCATCGAAAAGTCATTTCATAAGACACATTTCTCTTAATGAAACCTGTATTAAACAAAAATCAAACGCGTTGTAATTAAAAATATGTTTAATGATGAATATTTTTCTGTACAAAAATAAACTATAGTTTGTTGTTTGTTCCATTTATCGATTTTTTCGATGTGCAATCAAAATCTTTCACCGTTTCTTCTATCATGCAACTTCCGTTTGGAGTTGAAAGCGAAGAAAAAAACAGACATCGTACAAAAGTGCAACTCATTCATTTCTCGGATTCGGCCGCAAACCACACGGTGTAGACGAGCAGAGTGAGCGAGCGAGAGAGGGAGAGAGAATGCTGTGGAAAAAAGTAGAAGAAATGTTGTTAATGCCATTTTGTGTATCCATTGACGGCGACGTAAGAAAACTTCGGTTCCCATTCAGACTTAAAATCAAATTACATACGATGGAAAGAAGTGAACCGTTTCAGATTTAACCGCCAAAGGAAGCAACAGTACTACGGTGAAGAAAGAAAAAAAAAACACATACACCATCGCCAGTCGACGTGAAAAGAATTTTTCAATGTAAAAAAGAAGCCCGAAAAAACGAAGAATGACGCGATCCATGGTGACGACACGAGATACGGTTCATTGCCATGCTTTTGCCTCTCTGTGCGCCGCTCAAACTACAATAGAGCTGACGTGTTCGGATTTACAGCCAAATTAAGACTCTTGAGGTGTAACAAATACCAACGCAATTATGTTTACGTCAGCCCCGTGTACAGCGAATGCAATGTGCATTATAACATGCATGCCAAATGTAATTAGTTTACGAGTAAACGTCTTCAACGACGTCTTTCTCTCGATTTTTTTTTTTTTTTTTGCTTGAGCATGTGATTGAATTGCGGAAAAATCAATTTACTAGTTTCGTTTTAAAATGACAGCTCAATTCGATTCTTGGGCCCGATGATTTCGGCTTGAAGGCTCTGATTCAATGATTTTGCGACTCTTGATATGGGCGAAATTCACTCATTGAACTTAGGGGGTATTAATAAATTGATAGCTCATTTGATGAACGGAATTATTGATTCAATGAAAAATTAAAATGAATCCATGACTTAAAAAAATAAAGAGGAATAAAACAAGAATTAAAAATGAACGAAAAACGATCCGAAAAACGTTCTATCAAAAAGCATTTCATGGAAATCCATCAGTTCTCCCTCATTTGTATAAACTCGCCGAATTCAATGCGAAAAAAACGGCTTCAGAATGATAACGACATCTATCAACGTTCGTTACAAGTTTGGCATTTTTTTCCCGTCGATTGCAAAGTTCTGTTTGCATGCAAAATAGGCCAAACTAGCTATGCGTTGAAGTAGCGCCTGTGTTTGTTAAGTGGATTCGACGATTTTTGTCTCGACCATTATTTTTTTTCTCCCCATAAATCTATGGATGACTTTCAGCAATCAGCTGATCGTTGGAGGAATGGAAAAAAAGTAAATATGGTCAACAACAGCAACGACAGGCGAGCGCATTGGCATTGATTTTGTAGAAAACAAACCTTCAACTTGTGATAAATAGGTCGACCCCAATTATATGTTTTAATTCGCAACGTAATTACACTTGTTTAAAAGAGAAAATGCTGAAGAGACACTGACCGACCAGCCAGATCGAGACTCAAATACTTTGGAGAGGAAGAAAAATAATATCGAGAAATCACAAAAGGAAACGGTAAACCCGCCGTCGGGAGGGAGAAGAAAAGTGAACAAAGCATGAACAGTAAGCGAATAAAAAATAGAAATAAATGCCGCATGTGAAACGAAACGGAATTCATCGTCGCGTGCACGAAATGTGCTCAATATTAATATGTTGGTAGTCAAAGCAGTACAACTTTGGATTAATAACAACAACAATAATAACAACGACTCAAAGCAGTCATACCAAATGGAATGTATTCTTTATTTCGGGCAATCGACAAGCGGCTGAACGTATGTAATGAAATAATGATTGGGGTTAAATGCAAGCCGAATGTCGAGGGGACAATCGAATCGTAATTTTTCTTGCTCGCAATTGAAAATTCGTTAAAATTATTTTCGATGAGACTCAAGACACTGACACATTCCGATTATGATTTCACATTCAAAGTTCATCCCCTAGTTCAAGTTTAAGGTTAGCCGTTGTCACAGTGGCAAAATCTCATTTCGTTTTCTTCCCATTCTCTTCACTTTTCCGCGGATTATTCTCTCTTCTTTTCAATGCTCACATGCATGTCACATATATGTCGACATTGAGGTGCTCGGCATTTTTGAAATATGACATTTTCGGGTGGAAAAACTTGTGCATATGCAGGCATGTCACCGTGCTAATAAAAAAAAATACTATTAAAACGCCGTCGTGTGTGTGTTCCTTTTCTTTCTTTTCTGAAAGGAGTTCAAAAATTACGAAAAATGTGCAGTCGTCAACATACAATCAACGAATTGAATGGCACAAAAAAAAGCAGTGAATCTTAAACCCTTTTTTTCCTGCTAGCTGCTTTTTATCATGCTTTCATGCTCAACTCATCCTTTTGGCAAATGTTTGCCAGACACTCACATACACACGCACATATGTTGAGTATGTGACGGTAAATGCTATTATTAAATAGCTTTGCAAAAATGGTATGCATGTGTACCTTTTCAACGTGCAGATTCAAGACAAAAAAAACAGAAAGAATGAATCAAAATTTGTATGCGCTCTCTCTCTCTCGGCTTAATTTACGTTAAACAGTCTCGCGTTTTGGGGAGAACCATTGACGAATGAAACCACATTCATATAGTTTCTTCAAATTCATTATCTCCATGAGCGAAATTTGCGAGCGCATTCAAATGTATACTTTACCGCAAATGCTATTAAAACACACTCGTATAAAAAGTGATGTTATCACCGCGGTTGTTTCCCTCGTCTTTTTATATATACATTAAACATGTGCAATTCGCCGAACCACTGATGAACCATACATAAAATTTCCGCGATACAGACAACGTTCAAGTTTTCCAATCAATATTTGCAGCTCTTGCTGAGATTCATATCAAACTATTGACTTACTTAACGGAATTCGAAGAAAACTAGATTTTTCCAAGAAATAAAATTGGGTTTTGAAAGAAAGAATTAAAAACGTGCAGCGAAATGAATGACAGATAATTTTCATATTGATAAGAATGAAGATTTTTCATTGAAGAACAAGTGGTTTTTACATTTATTCTAGCCACATCAATTTCATTTTTCATTTTTATGTAGCTTCCAAATGCAGAGTCGCTACGCTTCACTTCTTTGTCCAAATGGCACAATTAGCAAAAGTATCAGCAAAATCCACTCAATATTAATGTTATTGTTTTGGTTCCGATATTTCGATAATGGGTAAGCTGCAGAAGGTTACACGGTTGAGAACAAATGTAGACGAATCTGGATTGTTTCAATTTTGAATCATTTATTATCCACATGCATTAATCTCTGTAATTTCAACCAATTTGTACATTTCCATTACCGATGGTTCTGGTATTGGTTAATAATTTATTTATTTATTACGAAGCCTAAATTTATGCCAATATGTGTCCACAGCAAGCTGAGAACATGCTGGTCAGAGATCCAATACGGCATAAATTCCGCCCATGGTGCGTCTTTTGCAAAGAGAATACAGTCAGGGAAGGGATGATATAAAAGTGAGGCTTTCATACCAGAATTGGGAATCCGGAAAACCATGGCAAAAGCGGCCTGAACCGTAGAACCAGGGAAAATACAATGATGAGTTTAATAAGAGGTATATCAATTGGTTTTTCATTCTTATCAAAAAAATAATGAATGTTTTTAAGCAACAAATTAATCTCGGTTAATATTATGCTAAAAAAAACTGGCGCAGATAACTTATCTGAGATAAGATAGAATTTTGCTTCTGTTTTTAACCATGTACGTACACACTCAATATTCACATATACATTCAATGCAGATATCTGCGTTAAAAATGAACTTATCGGTAGTACACATTAAAACCATTCTACTACTCACATTTTTGCATTATAGCCTATAACTAATAAGTACGTTTGTGTCACAAAACAGAATCAAAGAATATCCGCACAAAAGAGAATGAAAAACGATTTTGCCTAACAAACTACATTCTCTATGTGTATGTAAATGATGTGAATGTAATCTCGACCATGATAAGAATATTTCACATTTTTATAATTCACAGAGTAAATGTACAGACAATATTCAAGTTGTAATTTGGGAAGAGCCGACATTCAAGTAATTTTTTGTTATAAAGTAAACAAAGCAAGCAAATTGAATAAGCTATATAGAACAGAAATTGAATTTATTCGTGGATTTTCACAAAATTTATTCAAAGATTTCAGCAAAGTTTTTTTCAAATTATAAAGATTTTCTATCAGAGTCAATCTTGGTTTCAATTGCTTAAACAGTAAAGTAATATATAAAAACAAATGGTATTCATGGAGGAATATTTTCATCCATATCCAAAAAGTTTTCATCAAAATAAGCGAAATTGATCTAATTCTCTCGATCTGTCTAAATGATACACTGGCACACACGATGACGTTGCTGTTAATATTAATCTCCGTGTTGACAACATTGATTGTAACCGCATTCATTTATATCAAATATAAATTTTCATACTGGAGGCGCAAAGGTGTAGCATACGTAGGGCCGTCGATACCGTTTGGAAATTTTGGCGCAGTTATAATATTGAAAAAGTCATTTGATCAAGTCTTAAACGAGCTGTACAATAGCTCAAATGAGCCAATTGTAGGCATCTACACAGGACTACGTCCATCATTGTTGATACGCGATCAATCAATTGCTCGCGATATTTTGATAAAAGATTTTCAAAGTTTTTGGCATCGTGGCTATCACTATGACGAAAAGCTAAATCCTTTGGCGGGCAATCTGTTTGCAAACAGCGGTGAAAAATGGAAAATGATGCGTTCAAAACTATCGCCAGCATTTTCGTCCAGCAAAATCAAAGCAATGTTCGACACAATTGTCGACTGTGGCCAATCCCTTGAGAATCACATTGCCAAGTATGACGGGAAGGAGATTGAAGTGCGTGAAATATTCGCCCGTTTTACAACGAATGTGATTGCATCGGTGGCTTTTGGCATCAACATTGACTGCATTGAAAATCCAAACGATGAATTCCGTGAATACAGTCGACGATTCTTCGAAACCAATGCTACATGTGTGTTTCGCTTTCTCATTTCATTTGTGAGCCCATTTCTGACAAAACTACTTCGAATTCGATACACTGACACAGATGTCGAACACTTTATGAGAGAAACCATTCGTCAAAATTTAGATTACCGTGAACAAAATGATGTGATTCGCAAGGACTTTTTCCAAATTTTGATACAATTGCGAAACGCGGGAACAGTTCAAGGTGACAGCGATTGGAGCACAAAAACTACGGCTGAAAAATCATTGTCATTGGATGACATGACCGCTCAAGCGTTTATCTTCATTGTTGCTGGCTATGAATCTTCGTCGACCACCGTAAGTGAGGCTTGAAATTGGCACATTTTTTGCCATATTTTCATTCTCATTGGCCAGAATTTAGTCTCGAACATTTTTGTGGTAACTTTTTTTTTTCTTTCAGATGTCATACTGTTTGTATGAGCTTGCGAAAAATCCAGAACTTCAACAACAGATTTACGAAGAAATCTTGAGTGTTTTGAGAAATCACAATAACCGAATAACTTATGATTCGCTTAGTGAAATGAAATGCTTGGACAATTGCATTGATGGTAAGCACAGATTAATTTTTGTTTTTATCATTTCCTATTACAGATAAATTCTTTGAAAAGAAACTGTTCAAATTCTAAACTATTGACACACATTTTTCTTCATTATTTCTTCGTTTTCCATAGAGACATTGAGGCTATACCCGCCGTTTGATGCCTTAACAAGAGAATGCACAAAAGATTACACGATTTCAAATTCGAATGTGGTCATCGAGAAGGGAACTCCGATATATTTTTCCATTACTGGTCCTCAATATGATCCACAGTTCTATGATCAACCAAACAAATTCATTCCAGATCGATTTAAAGACCATCAAAAATCTGTTGATGCACCATTCTGGGTGTTTGGAGATGGTCCAAGGAACTGTATCGGTAACTATCGTATTTATAAATATAGTTTTCTGAATTTCTTTACAAAAATAAACGTATTTTTTTTCCAATGGCCGAAACAATTTCAGGAATGCGTTTGGGAAAAGTTCTATCGAAATTGGGTGTATGTCTGCTTCTTCATAAATTCGAATTTGAATTGGGGACGCAACACATGAATGCAGAACTCGAGTTTGAAGCAAAAAGTATTGTAAAAGCACCAATTTCTGGCATTCATTTGAAATGCAAAAAAAAGCCATACAATTCTTTGTATAAGAAAAGCGGGAAATGATTTTTTTATTTATGAAGAAATCATTTCGATATTTAGAAATAATTTACCTTCCAAAAGGTTAAACATTTGAAATTTGAAAAAAATTTCATGATAATTGGTAATATGAAAGGTATTTTTCCATCTCATCGCTGAGTGTGATGCTACTACATGCTTTAAACCTAATAAATTGATAATTAATTCAAATTGTCACTCATTTTTTTATTCTCAAAATGTACACATAGAGAAAAAAAAAAGTCGCGTTTCTTGGTGTTAGTGATTCTTTTTCTTGATTCTGACCGAAAGTTTTTTTTGCTACTATGAAACATTTTTTTTCGCCGAAAAATTTTTTGGTTGTGTTGGTGTGAATTTGACAGCGACAAAAAAATTTTTTTTTCGAAAAAGAATCTGTCACTCGTCACCAACACAACCAAAGTTTTTTCGACGAAATTTTTTTTCTTCATAGTAGCAAAAAAAACTTTCGGTCAGAATCAAGAAAAAGAATCACTAACACCAAGAAACGTGTCTATGGATTCTAATATTCGAAAGAAGTCCGTCTTCAGTCTTTTTTTTTCATACCGTTGAAGCATTCGAAATTGAATTCAACGTATCGTAATGACGCAACATCAAAAAGGGTAAACAAAATCATTGGCACTATAACATGCATTGCTGTTGTTAGGGTTCACGGTGTTACCTCTTATTTGAATGTGAATGGCATATGTTTTACGTGTGTTATACAATTAATCAGCTGCCAGGGTTTACCTACCGTATATGGTAATAATGAGCCCATGCTGTGCAATGCATATCGATACAAAAAGGGACCATTTAAAACATGCCAAATGTATTTTGTACTTCGTTCATCATTCCGTTTCCAACTGGAGAGGTGAGAATTTGCCTTCTTATAAGAAACAATGTCCGTAAATTTACCAGTTTTCATACTTCGATTCATGCGATATGCCAAGTGAAATGGAAATATTTCGAGACATAGCATGCTGTTATGAAACTGGTTAGGCTTTGAGATAACATTGACCAAATAAGATCCTGAATGCGGTTCCCTTGGTCTAAATTAAAGAAGTCACATGAAGATGGAGTGAATGCATGCAGGAATTTCTTATTAGTTGCATCTTCATGGTAAGACGAAGTGTAATATGAAGACAAATCATTTGTACTTAACATTGGAGATGGACTTTCCAAAAATACTTCCACTGTTTTGATGAGTTTTCTTCTGCAAACTTTTTTTTTTTTAATTTTCGTTCAACCGAATGAAGGGAATAACTCGTAGAAATCTAATGAAATAAACGACATAAAATGCATTTTTGAAAGAAATGCCATTCTGAATAGAGATCTAGCTGTCTTCCCATCCCTTCGAATCACTTTGAAACCACCCCATCGTAGCGATGCCGCTGTAAATCGAATCGTTGCCATGTCTTTTTAAGCAAAAAAAAAAAGGTAATTAACATAGCTCCGGAAAACAAAGCAATTTAATTGTTAAATTATAAACTGCATTGTTCCGAAATTCAAAAAGATTTTTCGGGTACAAAATAAAGGTAAAATGGCACGTTTTTAAAATCATTCCCTGCGAAATGAAAGTGTGCATGAAGAGACAGATAATTTTTTAATGAGAGTGACACTCACTCACTCTCTCTCTCCCCGCTCGTGTATCATTTGATTTTCGGCGCACGAATTAAAAAGGCGCACGATGAAAAGGTGAAATCGTTTTTCTTAAGGATTTCAGGATGTAATTACTCGGATGAGCTTTTTAAATAGAGCCATTTTCAGATGAATGTTGTATTTTTTGTGTCTGTGTGTCGTAAACATTTATATGAGAAGATAATAAGCCTGCCGGTGTGCTCATGGCCGGGCCCATACAAATTTGACATCTGAAAAAAAAAGAAGAAAAAACGAATTTCGTATGTGGTGTTAAATACGCGCTCGAAAATATCGGAACGAGAACAGCAGCGGCAACGAACACTAAAACAACAACAACAACAACAGCACGGCGTTTATAATCTGAGATTCTCGGCGAATAAGTCATTTAATTAGCACAAACATAAGAGCATACTTTCTATAACGAGGCTGCAGCGAGCACCGACAAATAAACAAACAAAAAATTACGATAAAAAACACCGAGAATAAATAAGCAATTAGAAAATGTAAAATATGAGAAATCACACAAAACACACACAAAATGCTTCTCAATGCATTCGTTCCTTTTTTTTCGCTTCTTTTTCTTGTTCTGTTTTTTTTTGTGTGTGTGATAAAATTGAAGAAGAAGCGAAAAAAAGAACCAGAGCACCGTGGTTTGAGAATGATGGCATAATTTTGAGTAAAATGATGAAATTAAACATTGTTCAGAGATTCAAAGGCTGACGGAACGCTATAGATTCTCAAGTGCATTTGAAATTGTTATCATTATGTGAGGACGGGGATGAGAGCTGTTGCTGCTGTTGCCGCGCGCGCGAGATGCTACATGCATATTCGCGCGTTCGCTCTTAAATTTATTACATGTTTGGTTTGGTTTGGTTTGGTTTATTTTTTTGTCTTGTGTGACAAGCGACGAAAATATGTCTCGAAATCGAGCAATTTAATATGTGCATACAATACATGTACGAGGGCAAAAAAGGGACCGATCCGTTGCACCACTGTTACTTGAATGATGTTGCTAATTCTTTTTTCTCTCTCTGTATGCGTTTTTCTTCTATTTTATCTGGTGCAGTTTTTGAAATTGTATTCATTTGGTGCCGAAAAAAAAACGAAACAAAAAGGAAAATGAGGCATTTCGAGATATTCAAAATATATGCATATAAAAAAGAAGTAGCAGCAGTAGTAGCACACAGAAAAATTGTATTCTGAACACCTTCCTCTCGAATAAAATATGAGAGAAAGAAAAAAACAAATAGCGAAATAAAAGTAAAACCAAGTGCATAGCGACAACACAAAAAAACGAAGAGAAAGGAAAATGTGTTTTTTCTATTTTCCCTCGCTCTCTCTCTCTCTCTCTCTCTCTCTCTATTCGTTAAGCACGATGCTTCTTCGTATAAAATTTACGCGAAAAAATATTTCAAAAACGAATATTTAAACTGCACTTAATTAATAAACAAAAGTGAAATATGCTACATTTCCATTTAAAATTAGACTCAAGGAAGAGACGATGGGTGCAACGAGAAATACGAGACTGTTGATAATAACATACACACTCGCGCGCTCACACATACAGAGAGAGCGTGAAAGAGAAAGAGAGAGAGAGAGAGAGAGAGAGAGAGAGTTCGGCGAAAAAAACCGTCGTCTGTTCGTAGCTTTCCGGCCACCGATGTTGTACTTGTTTGTGTGTGATTTTTTTTCGCGACCGTTTTTCTCAGACTCGCATTCATCTTTTCCACATCCCAAAACCGAGCCATACCACGAATCCTGATATTTTATTCTCAAGCCGCGCATTACGTATTTTTTATACTTAAATTTAATATTTTTCTGTGTGTGTTCGCTATCCTTTCTGCGGCGCAAATGATTTGTTATATATGCATTTTTAAATCGTACCAGTTTATTGTGTACACTGCGCTCTATTTCTCTCTCTCTCTCTCTGCCACACTCATTCGCCCGCACTCTTTCTCTGGTTCTCTTTCCAATGAGTGCATTCAGTGTCCGCTCCACAAAATTTTCCGCGCGGTTTTTTTCTTCCATGTTCGCTGCTGTCGCCACTCTGATACTTTTTTTTTGTTCAACTGGAAAATGAATATGGATACGGAATCGACTTTCATTCATTATTTTATGCAAGCCACTTTAATAAATATTTTTACACTTATTAAGCATAAAAATTGTTATGCCGTTTGTGTGCGCGCGCGTTTTTTTTTTTTTTCTGAATGTACCCTTCGAACAACAACGACAAAAAAAAAAACGAAAGATTCCGTGTCATTATCGTCAAATTTCAAGTGGACATGTGCTTGTCTGTTTGTTTTACCATTTTTCTCTACATCGTTTGCAACAAACAGAAAAATTGTTATCTTGAACAATACTTGTACCGACTTTGTTTTTCGTTCGTTTGCATTGAACTTATTGGAAAATTCAGTTTGGCGAACAAAGCCGAGCGCTGAGTACTTAAGCAGACAGAAAAGTTTTCGCTACGTTGAAAAGTGAATGACATTTTGCACTCACTTGTGTGCGAGAATCAAAGTTTGGAAACGAAGTCTGTAGTTTTACGCTCGAACATTGTTGCATACGCATCTGCCATTGAGTGCTCGACGACCATTGTCAAAGTGGTTTCGAACGCAGTTTTCGCTACAGAAAAAAGAATTGACCCGCTTCTTTCACTGTTTCGGCATTGCAACTGTCTGTGTTTGCAATATTTTATCTATTGCGTTCACCTGGAAATTTTAGGCGAATTGATAATTTCCCCAAAAAACAGCCGGTACTTTGTTTGCCCTGAATCAGTGACATGGTAATGAAGAATCGATGCCACCCTTTAGAAATACGCGACATCGCCCACCCCATCCCTACGTTGGCCGTCTCATTTATTTATCACTCGGTGTGCTTCTTATGTTCACTACAGGCGAAACTGCCAACGGAATCGGGTGACAACACAGTGAATGCTTGCGAATTTGCAACGGGGACATTATCTTTTAAACACCGTACGACGTTTCAACAAATCGATTTCTCCATCGCTCTCTCGCATTGCACAATGTACTCCTCGGTATCGCGCAACAAACTCATTAAAATTGCGAGCAACAGCACTTTATTTATTTCGAAACAAATTGAACGAACGCATTGGCTTCAATCAATTTTTTCCTCCTCCTTTTTCGTTCGTTGGCTCGATCATCAATTTTCCATGAACGAATTCTGTCGAGACTGTGTTATTTCGCTTGATTTGCATAGGCAATCGATGGAAATTTATAAGCTCAAATGAAATTATTTCATATTACATTTAACTTTAATTCATCAAAGTGTAATTTTATCCCGGTACCCAGGATCTCGACTCCTGTGTATTTTTCTTTCTCTCTGGTTTGTTGTTTTCGGTTGTGTCGTCGGTTCCGAACTGATGCAAAAATCCCATTCACAAAAATGTTCTTAATGCGTTTGCTAAACCGAGTAACATGTCTGTTTATGTGTCTCCCCGGCGCGCGCGGCAACTTCAATAATCATTTTATGGATTTGGAAATAAAAACCCCGTCGAACATTGTTTCACTTTTCGCAGTCGATTGTTTTATATCATGCCG